ATGTTCTTTGGCTAATAGCCAAGATCATTCAAGAGTATTGAACTTGGGCTATAGCTTGCCACAAATAGTCCTGAAGAGTCAGAAAAGTGGGCCACATAAGGAATAGCAGATTATCTTGTATATGTGCTCTAGGTACCAATTAGGTGGTTCTCATTTCTAATTAAACATGCATATAAAAGAATAAATCAATCCAGAGTTCTCACTCAAGGCACAAATGACCAGGCTCAAATTATCATACTTTCGACACATTATGTGAAGACCTAGCTCTCTGGAGAAGGTTCTGATGTTGGGAAAGGTAGAAGGAAATAAAAGAAGAGGAAGACCAGCAGCAAGATGGATGAACTCAGTTATGGCAATGGGTGCACCACTGGAAGAGCTGGAGGACCAGGTTAGGGACAGATCATCATGGAGAAATCACCTATGGGTTTGCTAAGATTCAACACTGACTTGATAGCAGATAATCAATCAATAAAATAATAATTTTCTTTGGTTAGTGCATTGGTTGGCGATCTTTTCAGACACCGGACTCCAGTGTACAATATGATGGCTAGATACTCCTAAATCACCTCAAATGTCATGAAAATGTATGTAGTAACAGCAATCTCTCAAGCAAACTTATATGAGGTTTTGGTGTTCTCATCTGGTATTTTGACATTCTCAACCAAGATTACCAGAATCTTACTAAATTTAATGATCTTGCAAATTTTAGAATAAATACATAAATAAAAACATTACCTTGAGGGGGATCTTGGTGTGGTTTTGTGGGATGACAGGTAACTCAGCCATCTTGGACACTGTGTTGTGAGTTCCTTCTTAGAACACCTAGTGTACTTCAGATGTTCTGAACCTGAGCTACAAGGCTGAAAACACTCTGTAGCTGCATCTATAGCAGCCCGAACTCAAATTAAGGGTGCTGCTCAATAGAGTAGTGTGATAGAGATTTAAGAAACGTCCACAGTAGCAGTTATACTAGTCAATTTCCAATACATTACATATCACTATCTCTTCCTCTCAGTCTGTCTGTGCATTTAAATATTCAAATGTAATATTATTCAAGAACAAGGTATATACCTTACCTGATCTTTCAAGTTCTTGCCTAAATCTTTTACATCTTTCATGTTAATTGCATTCTTTCCTCCCTTCTCCTTCCCCTTCTTCTTGTTTTTCTTTTTGAACAAGCATTTCTTACACAGACAGAAACAGCAGGTAAGGACTAATAGGATGGCAACTATGGCTATGGCTATTAAGGCCCAAGGTGGCACTGTGAAGAGGAAATACACACAAAATAGAATAACAGATTGTTAGTCAAACAGGCAATGACAGAATCTTTATTTTCAGTAAATATATCTAGCAATCAATTATGTTTAATAATAACAAGAAGAATACTGTTATACTATTGGGTTTTATAGTCTCACTAGTGCAAGAAAAATTGGTATACAAATAAATCTGAATTATCCACCTAAATTCACAGGAAACCACAGTGCACAAGCAATTGCATTTCTTCAGAAAAAATAGTCTCCTGAGTCTTATGAGCTTCTAATTGTTTTTCTGCTGAGGGAAGCATGATTCTCTAACATAAAACTACCCATATAACCCACCTTGCATTGTGACCTGAAAATAAAGCAAGCTTCAAGTCAGGAGGAGCTGGTTAGGAACTTGTGTCATCCAGATCTTAGGAAAACAAGTGCATGTGATCAGAACAGTCAGATATAATGAGCAGCATTTATCCACTTGCTGCTGCTTTTTCTTGACAATGACTCAGATGCAGGTCAAGGTCATATTAAATGAAGGACAGTGACTTCCCAGTGGGAAGAAATTCATATTATTAATGCTCATAAATTACAAACAATATACAAATGAAATAAGTATGTGTGAAAGTGGTGTGTGTGTGTGTGTGTGTGTGTGAGAGAGAGAGAGAGACAGTCTATTTTAAAAAAACAGTAAAATCAGAATCATTCTCTTGATACAAATTGGAGGTGTAGGCAGCCATTTCTATAATACAAAGCAAAGTTCATAGTGACTATTATGAAAAGCTTTACTTTAGATGGAATCAGAATTTTAAGCCACCAAAGGTCATGTAGTAAAAAAAAAATGTTACTTTGATGGGGGTAATTTTATTAAGCGTTTGTATATTACTATCAAGCATTACTGAAATCTTGTAACAAGATTTTTAAAGCAAGTAGATATGTTTGCTCCCAGAAAAATATACATCCTGTCTGACACCCAAAATATCTTACCAAACAACTTACACGAAAATCTCTACAATTATGTTTCATAACATGTAAGAGTGAATGGAATTTGGCAGATGGTAGCAGTGAATTATAAAAGGAAAATGTACAGAGTAAGTGCAGAAAAATTAACTGGGCAACATAGTAAATATGATCTGAATGCTTGATTGTTGGAAGTTCTATAAAGGAAATTGCCAGTGCAGACATTTATTGGCACTCATTAATTTCTAGTATAAGGGGTACGAGCATCATGACCCACCCAATTATCAGACCCTTAGATTACCCATTTTTGTTTAGTTCCTATCTTTGAGCATTGGTTGTGATTATTCTCTGGGGCTTTGCTTTAGATGCCCCATGGCTGACTGAAAATGAGTTGTGCATCAAGATCTTTTCAAGGGGAGCAACTACCTCAGGATCACGCATGGAGGGGTTCCATTCATAGTATGTGTCAATATTTAAAATGATCAGATGAATCTATGCTTTTCTTTCAAGAGACTACTCTGTTAAAACAGAAACCTAACTGATATTTCAGTATTGTGGGTATGCACGTCATTTTGACGTCCCCATCTGGAAGACTTTTTGAAAAAAAACCTTTAGTCTGAAGCTCTGAAAAAAGTCTATAGTGCATTTGGGTGACTGCATGGTCCTATCTATGACTAAGAACTTTTTCAATCAGGTGAACAATTTTCTGTTCCAACTGACTGAATGGAACTGAAATTGAAATAATAAATGGGTAGAGCTGCTAAATGTACAAAGGTTTTTGCAAAAAAACATGGGTACAGAGACATTGGTAGTTACTGTCTCTAGCATTAGATTGTAAAGATAAAATTTTTACCATGCTTCTTAAGAAATCCTGCTATAACTAGTGTGATCTACATGTCCATGTGGATTATTTGGGATTTTGAAACAGTCACCCTTTTCTTTAAAAACTGCATGACCAATTCTAGTTGAACATCTCACAGAAAAAAAGAAACAAAAAGTTATTGGGGGAAAAAATCAGAGTCTGATAGCACCTTTTCTAACAAATTTATTAACATTCTATTTTATTCTCAGTCCAAAAGCTTATGCCTTTCAATATAATTTGTTATTCAAAAAAGTGCTACCAGAATCCTGATTTTTTACAACCATAGACTAACTTTCCTCCTACAACATCTAAAAGTTATTGGGATAAGAGGTCAATGTTATGACAGGTATGTAAAACTAACGATGCAACAGTGTACAAATGTTTATGTGGGTTAGTTACATGCAACTGCTATTGCCTACATGATTTATTCTGCATTACACAGCAATATCAGGTATGCTTTAAATCAGTGTTTCTCAACCTTGGCAACTTTAAGATGAGTGGACTTCAACTCCCAGAATTCCCCCACCCCACCCTCTTGCTGGTGGAGGTTTTGGGGTTTGGGTTTCTTCATCTTTAAATTTGCAAGGTT